GTGCTGCCAGGTTGAACCACAACCCGCCCCCGTCGGAACCATCAGACAGCTCTTCAAGCTCTAGCTCTGATTCAGAGCTCAGCTCCCCGAGCACTGATGATTCGAGCATGCCTGGGCACCGTACTTCCACCTCTATGCACCAGATACCTTTGTCTGCCCGAAGCCGCAGAAAAAAACCGAATGCTTTTGAAGCCGATACCGCCGACGAAGTACACCGGTGATCCAGATGCCAATGCCTTCCATCGCTTTGTGCGGGAAGGGTCAGCATACATCGAAATAGGTCGTGTACCTTCTCGAGATCAAGTCTTTTACTTGTCGTACTTCCTGGAAAATAAAGCCCGAGACTTTTACAACCAAGTCGTTGTCCGCGATGAAGACGCTTACACTCTAGAAAAGTTCTTCCTGGAATTATTTGAATTTTGCTTCCCTGTCGATTTTCGCAGCAAGCAAAGGAAACGTCTGATCCGTTGTGTTCAGGACAAGAAAACTGTCGCAGCTCACGTTGCTGAATTTTCTCAGATTTACAACACAATTGGCTTGGCTGAAGGCCAAGAAAAGGTTGTGAAGCTCTGGAACAGCTTGCGCACGGAAATCCGCCAGGAGATGTATCGGAAGGACTTGGATCCTGAGATATCTACCTGGGATGAAGTCGTCCGAGCTGCAGAACGCGCAGAAATCGTTCGAAATCTTGATTCTGACTCGGACTCCTCAGAGTCGAGTGTGCACGACTCAAAGACTCAAACAAAGAAGTCCAGAACCTGTGCTGGAGGGCGCGTTGACTCCAAACCTCGAGGCGAAATGATGCACGCTTCGTCTGCTGAAGTATTGAACAGCGAACCTAGGGAGAAGAAACGGTCAGCGAAGCGTCGCAATGAGATGCTTGCGCAAGGTCTTTGCTTTACCTGTGAACAACCTGGCCATTTGGCCCGAAACTGCCCCACAACAGTGAATGTCAAATCCAATGTGAAGGGAAAACCACCTGGATTTGGAGCGCACAGTGTGCATTTGAATGCGACTGATGCTGCACTATTGGACACGACAGAAGTGATTGACACCCTGCCAACTGGTGCGCTGACTTTCGGTTATGAACCTGAGTTGGAATTGTCCCGTTATGCTGCTGGTCAAAAACGCTCGGGGTCCATCCAAGAATGCACAAATGAGGCTGTAGTGAATGGTGACGCGAATTCCACCTTGACTGCCTTGAGTGCTGAGGAGGACGCGAGTACACAAGAAGCAGGACAATATTCTCACGGTTCGTTTTATCCGCTTGCGCTCGAAAAAATTGGAGATCGCTCCAAGCAACGATCTGGAGGGCGTATGTAACGGGGATATTCATCCGCCAAGTCCTTGGGGGTACCAATCACCAAATTATGCTTACTTTATGCTTACTATACCTATGCCTTATGCCGTGCCATCGCACTTTTCATCAACATCATGCACTGCCTTTGTTCCGTAGTATATATACCTGGCTGTCGTAGTTACATTCCTTTGGTCAATCCACCACTTACGCCAGTTCCCTCCCGTCCGAATCGTGTGCCAGACCTCGATGTTCGTCGCATCCGTCACAGCACCACATCCAATGTCTTCCCTCACATCTAAGGTCTAGAATGAGGAGGAGGTCTAGGTTTAATTTTGTAGGCAGGCACAGAGGTTGGTGAGTGTATTCATCAGGCCCTAGATATTGTCAATGCTGTCAATGTTCATTTTCCAACCGATGGTTCAACCGCCGGATCCTTACTGGGGAAGGAAGAGACCTATGACACGGAAAAAAAAGCTGAAACCAATGTCGGATTCGAATGCTGGGAGTCGAACCCAGGACTCCCGCATGAATTTCAAAATGACCTAGTTGCCCAATCCTTGCAGGTGTGCACCGTGCACCACATCTGATGTCTTCCCTTACATCTGAGTTCTAAGAGGAGGAGGGAGTCTAAGTAGGTTTGTTTGTAGGCAGGCACCGACGTTGGCGTGTGTATTTCCTTCAGGTGTTAAATTGACAATGTAGTCCATGTTGATTTTTTCGAACCGATGTCTCAACTTCCTGGCTCAGGAAGAAAGACAGCATCAGTTTGGAAGAGAGCTACACGTATCAGGCTACAATGCAGAGAGAAAAAAAGGTTCAAAAGTTCAGAATTACATTAGCATTTCGGACTCTGGGAGTCGAACCCAGGAACCCTGCAACAACACGTGCACTTAAACTTATGGCGAGTGTGCACCGTGCGCTACGTCCGATTTTTTACCTTTTAACTGCGGTGGATTTCATGTATGAGAGGGAGGGATATTTTTTAATTTGGTATGCAAAGCGACCCATTTTTTGGTTCAACCGACACGTCGCTACTCTTGCAAAGAAAGGTTGGAAATTTGGAACAGACTTGTGCTGCCCAAAGAAGACGAAAAAATTATACATCTAGCGACCTATCATTCGAACGCTGGGAGTCGAACCCAGGAGCCCGCATCAATTTCCTACAACTGCTAATTTTATGCAGGTGTGCGCTGTGCACCACATCCGATTTCTGACCTTAGATCTTGGTGTTATAAGTAGAAAGAGGTCTAGGTTTGATTTCACATATGGGCACAGACGTTGGTGTGTGTGCTTCCTTGGGTGTTGTCAACGTTGATTTTCTAACCGATGGTTCAACCACCGGATCCTTACTGGGGAAGGAAGAGACCTATGACACGGAAAAAAAAGCCGAAACCAATGTCGGATTCGAATGCTGGGAGTCGAACCCAGGGCCTCCGCTTGAATTTCAAGAACTCTGGTATAAATACCTGCGGATATGCACCGTGCACCACATACGAAGTCTTCCCTTACATCTGGGGTCTAAGAAGAGGAGGGAGTAGGTTTGTTCGTAAAACGTTGGCATGTGTACTTCCTCGGGTGTTGTCAATGTTAATTTTATTTGGAACTGACGGTTCAACCGCTGGATCGTTACTAATTAATGTCATTATACTCAGTAATCAAGCTTATTGTAGTCAGTAGAAATCGATAGTACCTATATTTGTGATCCCTGTTCTAGAGTATGTTCAATGTAATAGCTGTGTCTCTTAGTCTAATAAGAAAACCTTCAAAGGCAGAGGGCAAGAGGTTTTATTATTTCCGGTCGCCAGGCCTGATCAGGTCGTATAAGGCCCCATCAGGCTGATCAGGCTGGTCACTATTTATAACAAATTATTACAAGTGATCAGCAGAGCCCAAACCTGACGGGCTGGTCAGGCCATATCAGGCCATATAACCCCTTGTCAGTCAAATTGAGATTTTCCGACATTAGAGAAGAAAGACAGTCAGTTTGGATGAGACCTATGACACCGAAAAAAATAAGTTGAGGCTCGTTAATTCGGACGCTGGGAGTCGAACCCAGGACTCCCGCGTTGATTTTTTCGAACCGATGTCTCAACCGCCGGATCGTTACTCACTCAGGAAGAAAGACAATCAGTTTGAAAGAGACATACATATATGAGGCTATGATGCCGAAAAAAGGGGAAAAAAAGATACCTAAAGCTATATTTCGGACTCTGGGAGTCGAACCCAGTAACCTTGCAACAACACGTGCACTTAAGCTTACAGCCAGTGTGCACCGTGCGCCACGTCCGATTTCTTACCATTGAACTGAGGTGGGTTTATGTAAGTATAAGAGGAGAAGAAGGAAGGAAGATTTAATTTGGTATGAAAAGCGACCCATTCGCCCACGAGCGCGAGCACTGGCTCGGGCTGGTCACGGTTCAACCGCTTGAAAAAAAAAAACATGGTTGGAAATCTGAAACAAATGTGTGCAAGGATTTGTGCCACCCATAGAATACTGTACCATTTCGACCGTAGGTTCAGGTGACGGTGACGGAGGGTCGTGAACTGAACTTATTTGGGACAGGTGACGGTGACAATGGATTTTTGTGGCCCAAATAGGCTAAAAAATGTGAAAATTTCTCCTCCGGCAGTTGCCGGATTGCCATAAATGGTAATTTTACCGTGATTGCCGAGGATTGAACATGTTATAAAATGAACATGTGCAGTGACGGGTGACATACCGTGAACCTACGGTCGAAATGGTACAGTAAACCGACAAAAGTTAGTTGCGCAGACGTTTATCGAACGCTGGGAGTCGAACCCAGGACTCCGGCATGAATTTTAAGGACCTAGTTTCAGAATCCCTGCATCATCATCAGGGCAACTTCCGATCGGAAGCCGGCAGCTTTGGCCGTGTTTGGTTGGCTGGAGTCGTCGGTTCCAGTTTTGCACCCCCCATCGTTTCTTCCTGTGAAGCTGTATGAAAATTCTGAATAGACAGATTTGCTCAAAATATACCATAGTATAGAAGTACTGTGCTCGATTTCCCATTTTGCTCAAATTTGCGGGATGGGACCATTATCTTCCAGGATGTTGGTGGGTTGGTACTACTTGGTAGCGAGGGAAACAAAAAATGGAAAATCGGCCACAGTACTTTTATGGAGAACATTTTTAGCTACTATTTACTCTGCGGAACTGGAGGGTTTCATGACGAACTGCCAAAACGATGGTCCTTTTGAGCATTTTTTCAACATTTCGGGTAATTCCCTTACTGTACACTACATTCTCACATATACGTTGACACCAATCAGTATAATATGCATTTAATTGCAATCCTTGCCTGAAATATCGTCAATCCGGGTCGCAGATGAGACCTATGACATCGAAAAAAAAGGTTGAGGCTCGTTGATTCAGACGCTGGGAGTCGAACCCAGGACCCCCACATGAAGTTGTACCTTGAAGACCAACAAAGAGTGGGTGTGGTGATTATATCTAGGTTGATGTTGAACATCAGGAGCACTTAGACTGCTAAATTTTCGAACCAGACGAGAGACAAACAGAGCCATCCCACTGGCAGGAATCTAGAGGTCAACTTACATATTTCCCCAGGTGTTGTTATGCCGTTTGATTTTTTTTTTCTGGGAGCCGAGGATTGTAAGTGGAGACGAAAGAGTTTGGAAAACACCGGGTGCACCAAAAAAAATGTTCAGTAGTCAGCAGATTCGGACACTGGGAGTCGAACCCAGAAGCCCCGCATCCCTGGCTTCATTTTCTCAGAATGAGGAGCGGGTGTGCACCGTGCACTGTGTCCGATTTCTTACCATTGAACTGAGGTTGGTTTTATGCATGAGAGGAGAAGGAGGAAGGGAGGTTTATTTAATTCATTTACAGTATGAAAAGCGATCCATTCGTCGCCCACGAACGCGAGCGCTGAGACCTGGGTTGGTTTGGTTCATCCGCAGATTGTTACTCATCACATAAAAACACATGGTTGGTAATTTGGAACAGACTTGTGCCGCCCAAAGAAGACCACAAAAAAAAATAGAATCTTCAGACCTCTCTATTCGAACGCTGGGAGTCGAACCCAAGAACCCGTTTGCGATGAATTCCGAAATCACTGGCACGGAGAGCAAGGTGTGCGCCGTGCACCACATCTGAGTTTTAACAGGAGGAGGGGGGGTCTAGGTTTGATTTCGGACACGGCCACAGACATGTGTACTTACGCTACCAGAAGGCCTTCATAAAATGTGCAATGAGGATTGTCATATTTCGCAACATGATATCTGAATATAATGAAGATTTCACCAAGGATGCTGAGACTCACAAGACAGAAGAACTTTGCCAAATAACCTAATAATAATATGAGAGCTTCCTCAATTCCTCAGTATGCTTGGAAATAAGAGATCAGGCCAGTAAATCACTCACCGCTACAAAAGGATGTGGTTCAAACTGAGATCAAACTCCGTCATCACAGCCGGCAATTGCCGGCACGAACCGCAACTTGCTGTTCTCACGAGCAGCAAGTACATGTAGTCAAACATGAAAAGGCATGCATGGCGAACAAGTTACCAAATATCAACCCATTACACGGTCGGTTTCAACGGGCCGTTGGGTTGGAAACCCGTGCCGTAGCCGTGCCGTGAGCAACGTGGAAAAATGGCTGACGGAACGGGCACGGCATCCGTGGCACGGGTGCCGGCCGTTGAACCGTGCACGAGGTTGCGTCGAGGCAGAACGCCCCGCACAAGCCCCGCACGTCTTCCTTCACCTCCACCAACGATTCCTATGGCCGAATGGCTTTCGCGTGCTTTCTCCTCTCTGGTGTCCCTCTTTCCCATTCAATATGAGGATGATACCGAAATCGAACCTACGGAACTTGACAAGGAACTTGAGGTGCATGCGAACAACTTCAATCATGGCGAGCATCCTGACAGCTCTGATATCCAGAGACTACGCGCGCTTGAAGTGGCCAGTCAGCAGTCCCAAGACGTGGATGCGTGCAACGCAGCCCTGAGAGAGTTGCAAGAATTGGCGCAAGCTCGCGGACCTCTTTCGCCATTCACTTTCCGCGTCTTGAAGGTGCTCGACAAGTTTCTCGCCATTGACAGGATTCCGAAGGCCTCCCACGGGGACGTTTATGAGAGGCTGATATTCTCCGCCGTCTCTGCGCTTTGGAGCTACGGTGTGGCGCAGATTCATAACCGAGATGTCAGTATGGTTTGCTTCTTTCCAAGTAGGTGTGGGTGACTGGATGGTCGTACTTTCAGGACGGCCAACTCAACGACGCGTGTGTTCGCGTTCTGCCAAATGCTCTTGCATGGATTAATTTCCTCCACGCCAACTTCCTTGCCGATCCGACACAGGACATGCACCTCCGCGAGAACGCATGGGGCGGTATCATCGTATTCCTGGATCAGGCAGTGGGCCATCGTCAAATGTTTGGTTTATCTGGAGATGAGATTACTCTCGCCGTAAGCTCGTTGCGCCGTACGTGGAACTCGCGTCGACTACTTCATGCAGATTGTCAACCTTTGGGTTCTGGAAGCCGCCCTCGACAGCCCGCCGGCGCGGAAACACTTACCAGCACGCCTCTTACACAAAATCATTGCAACTCATGGGGAACAGTCCGAGGACATGATCATCAGTGCCATGGAGTCGGTGGGACCATCGATCGCTGCCCGAACTGCCATACATCATCTCTCGTTAGTCACCGGGACGGAATCAGACCACAAGTTCATGGAAACGCGGAATGAGACACTCCTCATTCGTATGATGGTTTGCACAGCGGGTTTAGGCCATCTGTTACTATCCAGCGGTGTGCTTCGGACTTTGATCAAGGCTCTCTCGTGGGCGACTCGAGAATCGTACACCGACGATCCTGCGACCAGTGGAATCATGGTTTGGCTTGTACAGAACTCTTGCGAGGCACTCCAAGTGGCCATGGCGAATACGACGGGGGTTGCAATGTGCCGCCAAGTCCTGGAGTTTGGGATTCTTGCACCTCTCTTGCGCGCGGACAAGTGGCATGCCCATCTTACTCCCATACATTTCCCAAACGTGCCTTATATTCACTCTCGCCTTCTGATCCAAACTCTGGCCACGTACACCATCTATCCATCTGTCCTCCGTGCCGCGGCTACTGCCATAGAAATGGTGCCATCCAAGCTGCAAGCCGATCTTGATCAAGCCGGACCAATGAGAGCGGCGTGGCAACAATTCAAAGATGTGGTTCAACGACGCTTGCGGGTCCCGGGAGCCCCGCTTGGTCCCTTCAACCGTGTTATATGTACCAATCTTTTCGTGGGTGCATTTTTCCTGAGGTAATGGTCGCAACTCAACGCTCCTTTCAGTGTCCTTTGCTGTCTCCGGCAGATGTCGAGTGTTCGCCGAAACGATGTGCTGGATGCGGAGATGCGCTCTAGTATGTTTCCTTCCCTGTATTTATCAATTACAAAACGTAATTATGCCTTCAAAGCTGCGGGTCAACTTGCCAAACCGTGGACTGGAAGAACCACAAGAAATTCTGCAAGGAGATGCAAGCTATAAATTATAGTGAGTTTTTCCCCATCATGTTGTCCGACCTGTGCTAAGAGAAGCTTTAAACTCCAGCCACGCCCACCGTACCCAAACAGGAAACAGATTTTGCGCACAAAGTTGCCCTTCAGGAGCTTGAGACACTCAAAAACTTTATCTCGCAAAAATGGCGAACCAGTCCCGACAATCATTCACCAGGCACTATGTATACCTATGCCGACGGTCGTAGCTCTTTTGTGGAGCCAAATCCTCACTCCCCCAAGATACAGGTCGTCATATTAGATTACGAACAGGACCACACCTCCGACAGTTTACGGCCTATCCTTGGTTTCACCAGCGCCCCGATGTTTGAACACAGTGGGCTGCCGATGTTAGAGGAATCAGCACAGCGGTACAGAAAGGAGTGGAACACAATCAGACTGCTTGCAGAGAAACCTCAGAAACGAGGCAAGCGCGCTGGAATTATTGTCGTTCGTATCCCAGAGGGGATGTTCAAAGTACAAAAGTTTTTCTCCCTGTTACGTTACTAAAGATTGATTTCCTCTGTCATATTGGATTGGATTTGAACACAAGACACCCCTGTCACTTGTTGTGTTTCAACGGTGCAGTATTCCAATTAAGGAGAAAATAAATTCCGCAACCAAATGTAGACCTAGCCCGTGTGCCACGGGGATGTTCTGCACAAAAAAAAAGCGTGACAGTTGGCGGATTCAGACGCTGGGAGTCGAACCCACGAACCCGCTTGCGATGAATTCCGAAATCACGGAGAGTGGGTGTGCACCGTGCACCACATCCGAGTTCTTCCCTATGCACTGAAGTGGTTTATATTCAAGAGAGGAGAGGGAAGAAGGGAGATTCAATTTGGTATGAAAAGCGCACACTGTGAACCGGGTTGGTTTTTAGTTCAACCGGCGGGTTGTTGCTCTTCAAGAAAAACTTGATTGAAAATTTGGAACAGACTTGTGCCACCCAAAGAAGACGAAAGAAATTAGACATCTTACCAACTTCTATTTCGAACGCTGGGAGTCGAGCCCAGGACCCCCACATATTTTATCTCCACCTTGTTCTAGAATTTCAGCGCAGGTGTGCACCGTGCACCACGTCCGATTTCTTAACCCTGCTTCGAGGTGTGGTAGCAATATGACTAAGTTTTGATTTTGTAGTCGCGTGTACTTCCTCAAGCGGGGTGTCACGGTTGAATTTTTTGACCCACAGTTCAACCGCCAGATCGGAATTGGAAGGAAGGGAGTACTAGTTTGGAAAATTTGCCTACCTTCACGCTGGGAGTCGGACCCAGGAGCACACTTGCGATAGTGCAGAGCTTAAGCTCCAGGTAAGCCGTCCACGTCCGATTTCTTACGTCTGCTTGGCGGAAGAAGGGAGTAAGAGGATATTTTTTGATACGAAACGGCCCGCGCCGGCGGCGTCTTCAAACCACGGGTTCGGGCGGGTTCTCATTGGAATTGAGAAAGTATAGAGAACACGGGGGACGTTCTTCACAAAAGAAAAGAAAAAAAACTCTTCCAGTACGAAAGGATCAATAAACCCAAGAAATCCCGTCTACATGCGGCGCTTTACTGTAACAAGCCCCAGACAGACAGAATCACAGACTCCGACAGATCATAGTGGGTGGGAACCGTGCACCAAGTCCGAGTTCCTATCGCTATTATAGCAAGGAGGTATCAGAAAAGCAAGCTTTGGGTTGGACTATTGAAGGTAGGACTTTAGTGGGATGTTTTGCGTAGCAGAACTATTCGATTCTGTAGACTACGGCGGCTTAAATACATCGAGAAGTAATTTTAAAAATTACAAGTAAACACGAGACGGAGAAACAGCGCTAATGCGCAGGTACATGATTCAGTCGAAGTAAAGAAAATCCCGTGGTATGTCCTTGGGGAATATTCGCGAGGCGGTGCAATAGCGCTGGCGTCCGAGTAAATATCTTCGCACGGACTTCGGTTTGTTATTCCAACATGGACCCCTTGGCATGTTGGTGTGTTTCCTATACATGTGCGTCGTGATATGGGTTGACTTTGAAACGAGGTTTCAACCGCGTCGTCGGTAAAGAAGGCCGTTTGGAAAGTCCTGGTTACGTGCATGCAGGCGCGCTGTATTTGTCGATGTATACGCGCTCCTAAGAACGCGTCTATACCACGTGGGCTGCGATTGAGTGGAGTCCGATTGATGATGTCACGCACCGTTCAACTTTTGCTTTCAACCACCACCGTGCAATTATGGTTACTACTCGAAAACAAGAAGCTATGCAGGCAGACTCTGATGAGGCCGCGAGCGCTCCGGATAATCTCACCAAGCGCTCGGCCCCCGATGACTCCAATTTGAAGCCGACTAGTCCGTCGTCTGACGGGCAGGAAGGGGTAGACGTCGAAGAGCCCGAAGACTCGGAGCCGCCGACAAAGAAGGTAAAAATTGAGACTCCGGCCGAGGAAGACGCTCGAAATGATGAAGAAGATGGCATAGTGCGCGAGGCAGGTAAGAACTCTTGGTAAGATTTAAACAATATCGCGGCTGCAACCAGTCTCTTTTCCAGGAACGACGGAGCGCGGGCATATCTACTTCTTCTTCCGCCCCCGCGTCCAGACAGACGATCCCTCGTCTCTCGACGACGTGAAGAATCTCCACATGCTGTTGGTCCCACGCCGCCCGAAATTCAGCACAGCGGATGACACGCCGATGTCCGCCGCGGAGGAGTCGAAAGACATGGAGATTCTCAAGCAGGGTGCAGACGCCGTTCCTGCCGCGGCCCCACTGGACTCCCCGGAGCAGCACTACCGACTCATTACCATCGGCAAGAAAACCCTTCCAGACCCTGATGCACGCCGCGGGGGCCGAAAAGAGAGTTTCTGGGCGACGGTCGTAGGCGTCGGGGACGACTTGGACGCCCTCGAGAAGGGGATGGGTGAGAAGACTTATGAGACGAAGACGCGCGGTACAGAAGCTCATAGTTGGTCCCTTGAGCAGTGAGGCTGACCCATATGTTTTAATCAGGCACGCGCCGTGACCCGCCCGCCCGCCTTGTTGCGCGTGGCTGCTACGCCCTCGTCAATAACGAGGCGGAGAAAGTGTCGCAGGAAACGACGTACCTCGGATACAGCCTCTCGCACCCCGCGTCGTCCGAATTTGGGCCTGTCCAGACGGCGCTCGGCATCCAGAGCGCTGCGGCGTTTGTCCTGCAGGTGAAAAACCCGCAGGCCCCTGCCACCGACGGTGGAGCCTCGACGACTAAGCATGTAGTCTATCCGCCGGCGATTATGGAGGGCGTTTTCGGGAAGGGGACACGCGGGCGAGATGCGACTGGGCTGCGCTTTGCACCGTGTGCGCGACCTCAAATGCTGGACTACACCGGGGTTGAGCTGTTGCTTGTCGCCGTCCGAGGGGGTGAATCCGGTCTCGAAGAAAGTTTGGGCGAGGGGCGCGGCGAGGGTGCGTGACATGATTCTCAAGTTGAATTTGTTGACTTACTTTGTTCCCGTGTACTTAGCACTGACGGAGGCTGGCGAGGCGGACGAGTCGCTGAGTGTCCGCGAAATTTTCCAGGAGTTGTGGGCTGGAAAAGATGGGGAGATACCGGAGGCGTTGAACGGTGAATGGATTTGACACATATTCGCAATACTGAACCACAGATGTACGACCTATCTCTTGGAGCTTATGTACTTTATTTTCTAAAACAACTTTGGACGGTCTTCTGGACTTTTCGCTATCTTCCCGAACTTAAAATCCGAAGAACCGATCGTGACATTGTCGAAATATTCCGGAGGAGTCCTTCAAAACCTTCCGTGCAGGTACCGCTTCGCAATCATATCTAGCATTGAATGGGTGGCCTCTGAGATTCTGTTGAATGAATCCAAGCCCACAACAGTTATATTACTCCTGCACCATTCGCAAGATATTTGCAACCAAGGGATTCGGGTCCTGAACACTGAACACTTGTAATGGGCACACGAACGGCAGCCACTGGCTTCGCTGACGGAATTTCTTGGACCTGAAGCAGAACTATAGATGATCTTATAACTCGAAGGATTTCCGGATAGGTACAAGCGCCCTTCCATATTCGTGATATATTTTCTCCAATTATCTCATCTAGAAATTCAATCCGCGAAATCATACATATTCCGGCCTTGAATTATGTTGGTAATCAACTAAGGAGTTCAAGGAACGACTCGCGCGCCTTCCTCGACAATTCCACCACAGCCTTGACCTCATCAATATCCTTCAACCCGATATTCAGCGTGCCTGCACTCAACAACGTCGAAAGCTCCGCATCTGTGAGCACGTCCGCTTGATGGACACCAACTGCTTTACTCGTGGGACTTGGAATCTTGATCTGCAGCCAGAGCCCCGTCCGGCATGGGATCCAATAACACCATGTGATTCCGTACCCAAGATTGGGAGCGCCCTTCGGTACAAAATTCGGCATCGTCTTCTCGGTATCGTCGAATGTCATGGAGGCACCGGCTAGAACGCGCGCAGCGGGGACCGCGACAGAGCGGCGGGGCGCTGCTGCGTGGTTCGATTGCCGGATGGTAAATACGACAATGCAGCTGTCGTATAGATCCATTGGCGTCGTGTACGCCCCCGTCATCCACATCGCGCTGGACAACGACGTGTCACCAAATATAGCTTTGATTTCGATGGGGAGTGAGGAGGACTCAGAGGGATTGAGATCGGGGAGGGGGTATAAGTTCGGCGGTCTAATTCCGTCCGAGATCAACGTCAAATCGTTGCCACTGAACGAGTCGTTCGTGTATTGCAGCGGGCCTCGCGGGTGGATGTCGGCCTGGCACTGAGCCAATGCGAATGTCAGGTCTATGACTCGTTCCTTTAATTGGGCTGGAAGCGTCGTCCAGGGTCGAACAGCCAGGATCCGCGAAGCCATAGGATTGACCGCATCAGCGAAGTGGTGAACGAGGATGCGCACCCCTAGCCAGAGGATTTGGAACCCCGCCCAAGTGAAAACCACGGATCGTGGTTGGTCTCCCATCACGACGTACGACAGGATGGTGGCTGCCGTGGAGACCAGGGCGCCTACCGCCCATAAACCCCGCCAATGGAATGATGATCTGGGGTTCTCGGCAGCGCCCAAGACTAGCTTGCGAGGTCCCCCTCGGCGGCTCACCATCGGAAGTTGTCCGGTGATGATGTCTAAACTTCCGAGGTCGACTTCCGGGTGACGACTCTGAAGAAATTCATGGATTTGTATCACAACAGCCGCGATAAAGAAAAAAGCCCATGGGGTGGCGGAAGCCAATCCGAGAATCAGGGCGTCATGCTTCCACATGTAATAGACCTCGAAGAGTTTAGAGCAAGAGAGGCAAATTGCGGGTACTTGGAACCGGCTGGGCAGCCGGTAATGTCGGTAGTTTGCATAGGTAAAAACCTGCATCGGGTTCCCCGGGGCATTGTCCGGGATGGTTCGTAGCATCAGCGCAGTGGAATGATCCAAGGCGTATACATCGCTGCATGCCACTTTTACGCGCCGTGGCGTACGGCCCTTGCCAGAACCAGCGTCACGCTGCAAGTCGGTGTTATCGATTCCAGTTGATTTCTCGTACATGAAAACACACCTGCGATGAATGGCAAAATATGGCCAATGGATCTCCGATATTCCGTCTGACTTTGGCCGCCCTTTTAGAATCGTGAGGAAGCTCCAGTCCCACAGCTAAATCGGAAGACGCCGTGCGTATCCCTAGTGTTTCTCGCAGCCAACCACTGCTGGCTCCGCAGAAGCAAGCTTTTATGACGGATATAGTTCCAAAGGAGCTTGTTGGGGCCCATGCAATGCCAGCCGCACCACGGTTCCCCAGAACGAGTGATTCGGCGACGCTCGAGCCGACCAATGCGGTCAAGGCACCGACTTCGACCAGATTGTTGCTGAAATTGAACGATGCGAAGAGTCCTCCTGCGGATTGAGAAGTGTCCGAGTCGCTCGTTTCATTGTCAGTGTTTTCCATGCACTACGTGGCCGTGCGACAAGAAGGAAGGATTATAGATTGACAATATAGATTGACAATGACATGGCTCCAGTCACCAGTGTGAGCGATGATAGATTGATTGATTTACGCATCAGTGGTTTCCGAGTCGGCGCGTAC